TTTTCTGCCTGTGGTGAACATGATATAAATAATCTCATTGAAGGACATGGCAGGGAATGAATGAGGAATGCACAGCTAAAGCCAGAATTTTAGGAGGGAGCCCATTCTAGGACAAGGCAGAAGCCATCAGCCTGGAGGGAAGGTCTGGGCCGGTCCTGTGTACAGTCCTATCGCCAGGTCTCCATGCTGCAGGCACCATGCGGCTCCCAGTACAGCCCGGATACAGAGCAGCGAGAGGAGATTGCCGCCACGATCCAGCAATAGTCAGACTCGGCTCATCTACAACACGGTCATGGTCTCTCTCCAGCTTCGGGTCCCCGTACAGGCGCTACCCACGATCTCGCCCCAAAAGCCGCCACAGCGCTCAGGAAACACTGCGGCCTACCGCGACACCAGGCCGAAAGGCCTCCACGAGGGACCCGGATAACACGCATATGTCCGGAGCACGCAGCGCTGCCGTGAGCCGACCTTCAGCCGCATCACAAGCCGTTCAATTCCACGAGAAATAACTGCAAACCGGTTAACGCTAAGCCCGTGTAGGCCTCACTCACCTTCTCTCTGCAGAGCCGAGAAGGGAAAAGGGATCGACGGGGTCTCCCGGGCGCAGAAGAAGGGAAGCGCGGCGACGTCACGCCTCTCGCTGAGCGCGAGACTTCGGATTGGAGAGTGGACCAGGGGCGTAGCCGTGCGTCTCAAGTTGGAACGCAACGGGGAATCACTTCCTGAACGGTGGCTCGCAAGGGGCCAAACCTATAGAGTTTGATTTATATGCGGGAGAGGAGAGTGCTGTTTGTAGAGATGGGATAACAGAAGTCATTCTTTTTTTTATAGAGAAAGGAAGGAGAAGGAACTGTGTGCTACGTTGTAACTGGAAACATTTTGAATCTGACTTCTAAGCCCTATCTGTCCCCAAAAAAGGGTATAAAATTCATTTCAGTACAGCGTTGCATGACGGAATAAACGTCAGTCAAAGGACTGCAGCGCTGAACACTGAAAAATGGCCTGGCCAGGAAGGGGGTCTAAACACCTGGTCTTGAAGTGGTTAACGATCAATGTGTATTCTTCCTTGAATCTTGGTGAGCTTTGTGTATTTCTTCCAGATCTGTGCAGTCATCCAGTGTGAGACTTCCTGTAATAAAGACTGCTCATTGCTGCTCTCTCTCTATGTGCAGGTTGACTGGTCTTGTCTCCGCCTCCTCCTGTAGACAGCCTGTAGTGGGTGAAGCTTCTTATAGTAAAGACCAGTCATTGCTGTTCTCTCTCCTTGTGCAGGGTGACTAGTCTTATCTCCGCCTCTCCTGTCGTTTTCTGCAGGCAGCTTGTAGTAGGTGGAGCTTCCTATAATAAAGACCAGTCATGGCTGTTTTCTCTCCTTGTGCAGGGTGACTGGTCTTGTCTCCGCCCTTTCCTGCAGGCAGTCTGTAATTACCTGAAGCCTGGCTTCCTGATTGGCAGGGAAGCTGGCTCCATGTTCCCTCGTGGCACTGCCAGTTAGAGGAAATCTCCCTCTGACCAGAAGTTCTGGTATCGGATCGGGGTAAGTATCGGAGCATTTGGACGAGTATGAGTATAGATAATATATATTATATACATCTTATATTTTTATGTAAGCTTGTTCCAATCTATTCTCCAGTACATTGGGGATAGACCTTTATATTGGAGCTTTATCAGATGAGCAGTAGAGCATGTTTGTACCACTTGGTCGAAGATTCTGAAATCCATTTTCCGATGAACAGACAGCCAGGTGACCATCTGCTGGGAGATGATATGCAGTGAAGCGTGTGTAAGGTGACAGAGAATGAGATAAGAGCCCTCATTAGCTGGGGACATTGAGTCTCATCTATCACAGGGCTCGCTCATTATCTACCAGTGCTGGGATATGAAGTATAAGGGACTCCGATGAAATGTAGTATTTTGATAACTGAACCAGTTGATGATACATGGGATGGTTGTTGCTCTAATGGTTGAAGGAAACCTTGCCTGAGAGAAACAAGGATGCTGGTAATGCTGGACTGTCGTCTGATAACGCCATTCCCCTCTATGTCATGGTGAGCTGTTGGCTTGCACACCTGGGGTCATTTACCAGCAACATGCATGCAGATAAAGGCTTCTTAAAGCAGATCTTCACTCATTCATAAAACTTACCCCTTACCTGTCTCCTCCCTCTGACAAATTTGGAGAATCTTTTTTTTTTTATAATCCCCTAGACCAGACCCCAGCATTTTTGTATCCAGCCCTTTGTCTGTCCCTGTCCGGCCCCCAAACATTATATATTTTTATGAAAGCCAAGACCCTGAATAAAATGGTAGCAGTTGCTAATTTTTATGTTGTACGACATTAGCGCAACTTATTATCAAACCCAGACATTTTGTGACAAATGCACTTAGGCTAAATTTAGTGCCCCAAAACACAATAACAAAACCATTTTTTAAAATAATAATAATTATATATGTAATTATAATAATATAATAATTTTTTAAAATATAAAAGATGAGGTTACAACGAGTAAATAGATTCCTAACATGCCCAGGTAAAAATTGTGTGCGTCCATGAAACTGCAACAGAATTCAGTACCCCAAAAAGTCCATAGACGACGCTTTAAAAGGCCTACAGGTCATCAGTTTAGAGGTAAGTGTAAATAATGGCCCTAGAATTATTGCTCTCACTCTGGCATGTGCGGCGATACCCAACATGTGTAGCGCAATCGTCGTTTTCGTACGCAGGCACACCAGACACGGGTTTGCGTTACATTTCATTTATTTAATATTATTTTTAAAACTGTTTTTTTTTTTTACTTTGCTTTAATTGCTATCACATAGGGGGACTTACAATCCCCCATGTGATAGCATAATGACAGTGACCTCTTTAAGGCGATGCTGGGGTCCAAAAGACCCCTAGTGTCACCTTTACACTCTAAATAAGCTAATGAAGTGCAGATTGCACTTCAATAGCTTATAGCTGGGTTTCAGGAGCCGAGCAATGACAGCTTAGTGCCCGGAAGTGATGCAATACGTGTCGCTCCTGGTCCCATAGAACGGGGAGGAGATCGGTGAATGTCCCGTAGGAGGGGCAACAGAGCCCAGGAAACACGGCGGGGGTGTCGGGCGGGGGGGACGGCCCGGTTATCAGATCATAGAAGCGATCTGGCGGCATCTGAGCTGCCAGAATCGCTTCTATTGTAAAGCTGGTCGGCGGCTCTACAAAACTGAACAGACTCCTAGAGGCTAACCCCTTCAGACTTCATGACGGATTATCCCGTCATGGGTCGTGAAGGGGGTTAAGAACGTTCATTTTTGCCTCTATTCACACACAACGAATCTGCAGGGCAAATGGCCTTGCAAATTGTTTATAAATAGACCCCTTAGTGT